CCCCCCCCCCCCCCCCCAACCCAACCCATACAAAAGAAAAAAAAAAAAAAAAGGAAAGAAGTATAAAGAAAGAAAGTGATCAAAAGTTTCTCCTCTGCTAAGTGCAGCAACTGTTGAGAGCATTCAATGGAAAGAAGTATGATGATAAGGTCAATTAGCCACAATCTTTGGTCCTCTGTACAATTCTCCAACCATAGCCAAGTCCTCAGGTATCTCCCTCTCTTGAAGCCATGCATAGCATTCCCTCTCCTCTGCAGGCACTGATTCCCCATCGACTGAATCTTCATACAGCATCAAACAGTCAGCGAGTATATGTATAAATCTACGGGAAACATTGTGTTGAGTCTATATGAGCTAAGAAGCAAAAATTGTCTGAATCCAACTAAGTTGCAAATTATGGATCAATGGACAAAAAATATATATCGGAAAACTCGGTGTTCTATTTATCTCAGCACACCCATCGGAATATTTTAGGTCCCAAGCAGAAATCATTAGGTGCTGCAGGTACCACACTTTCTCCATCATTTTCTCTGTTTGCTACAAACACTTCATCACATCTTCAAGTATGGTTCAAGTATTCTTTGCATTATCAACTTGCAATGCAAAATCATAGCAAATCTACATAAGCAACGGTGACAATGTACCTGAGACATTGGCAAATGGCAAGTCAAGGAAGTATGCGCAATGGCGGCCTTCAGGATCAGAATATGGTGGGCCAAGCACATCCAGTACAGCACATGCTGTCAATGCCGTGAAGCAGTGCATATTACCCCCATCAGCTGGATAAAGAATGGAAGTCTTTGGTGCAGTAAAGTTGGAGTTGACCTTAACCTTTGCCAAACGCAATCCAGCAGGGTCCTCTACATTTGGTGGTTGGATTACATCTGCTGATTTAACATAATTTGCACTGAAATTATTCATCCAAGAACAAGAAAAAAACAAGTGGATAGAGAGATAAAGGGCCTTTGTTTCTTTTCCTTTCTTTTTTTTTTTTGGGGGGGGGGTTTCAGATGGGGGAGGGTGGTGGACTGAAACAGAAATATCTGACTAGAACTGAAATTAGAGAAATACATTTGATGACGGAACACAAACTTCAAGATTAACTCACTGAATGATATCCATTCAAAAAACCAACAGATGGAGGCTGACAAAACCACTAGTTTCTCTAGACCCTTAATCTGTTTCATGCAGCTAGCTTACATTCAAAATACCAAACAAAAGGCAGGATTTAAAGTCTTGATCAAATCACAGAATCCAGACAACAGCACAACAATTTATGATTCAGCTTCATGGAAGAACATACTGTTTGAAGGATTCTCATTGAGAACTATGCCATGCGACGCATCGCCCACCCAGTCGTAGGATTTGATGTGCATGTCTCCGAAGAGAAGTTTACTAAAAACCGTCATTCCAGGATGGTTATGGAGTGGAATGACTCCTGAAGGCGGCAAGCAGAAAATCCCAATCTACAAGAAATCAAGTGACGAGGAAGCAGTGAAAACTGGGTTTTATTATCAAGGAACCAGTGCAATGCATGTTGTCTAGTACAAGTCACAAGCATCTTGAGTCTACCTACCTGGAATTTGGCAGAGTCATTAAGGTGTAGATATGTTATTCTAGGAACTCGTTCAGTCTCTTTTGCCCTGAAAAATGGCATATTTGGGCTCAGGCCAACATCGGCCTCTGTCATGCTATCTGCACATAAGGAGTCAACCTCTTAAGCATTTGCAGGTAAGAAAAAAGGAAAAGCCTAAAGCAGATTTATTAAACATGAGCCCCTTACTTAAAATTTAGATCTCACATCAGAGGCATCTACATTGACTCATTTTAATCCACAGATGATAATTAACTCCATATGTTTATAGTGTTGCACAAAAAAAAGACAGGCAAAAGAGTTGCATTAAAAGATTGGCATATAGTACTAGTAGGTCAAAAATGTGCAAGTGAAACGAAAAACGCATGTTCCAAATCCAGGGAGTAAAAAAGAATTAGAATAAGAAGGCACCCGACCCCACCGAATGGTTTTAGCTACAAACATTATTCAGGCCAAAACTATTATTTTCCTTGTTCTCACCATCTAGAATATATTCAATATAATGGTGTCATGTGGTATAACCAACCGATCATAAACTAACAAATTGGCCTAGTGAACTCCACTTAACCCAATGTGGTATGTGATAATTATTGAAATAGTGAGATTCACCAAGTCCATAGTGTAGTTTATCCTGGGTTTTTGGTACCACGTGTCGGTATCACCGTTGCATCGAATATTTACTCCTTCCCAAGGTAAGGCCGAGGCACCGATATCACTGACAATGTGAAATAATGAAAATCCAAGTAATTCATAACCTTCATAAATAAATTGATGTCACATTGCTTGTAACCAAATATAAAGCAGAGAAAGGCAAGAAGTTGATAAAGAATCCTACCCCGATCCAGAAAAATTCTTCTTTCCCTTCTTTTTAAATGTCATGTGCTAAAAAGGCTTTGACCGCAACATCAAAAAGAATTTGGACACTGTAAATCTTTTATTTAGATATGGTTATCAGATAAGGGCCAAGCAACATAGGAATCCTAACAATTCCATCAAAAATAACTGTTATGTTACTCACCCAAAAAGGAAAAACATTACGGACAAAAAATGAACAAAAAGTGAAATTTAGTGACTTGCCAAACTAAGTTTTCATCATTGGAGAACTCAAATTTCATCGTCAGGTCATTATCAATTTTCAAGCATACCATATATAGAAAACAATCCAATTATACTAAGGCCATGTTTGGCAGCATGAAATATATGTGTTCTATAATTATAGCTATAATTATAATTGGAGCAAAACAAGTTCAGATTTGAAAAATAATATGAGATCCGACTCCAATTCCAATGCATGAATTCACGATCCCAAATGCAACCGAATGCAATTCAATCATCAAAATTCATGAAACGCCCACAATAAGATAAGCATCAATTATAAATTGAATCAAATGATCATACCCAAAACTGACTTCAGCCGTTCAACATCACTTGGTGATGGAACAATTCCAGGCCCACAATTGGCAAACACTTCCTTGCAAGTCTCATACAGTTTCTGAACCGTTGACACCTTTTTTTGCCTTCGCCGGCCCCTTTTCTTAGAGTCGCTACTATCCTTTCCTTTGCCTCCTACTTTCTCCATCCCCATTGTTCACTCAACTATCCAAACTCGATAAAAACAACCCCAAAAACGCTACGAATTGTTAAATTACACAGATTTTACCCAAAACATAACATTCTTCGGACCACAGAGAGGAGGAGATTTGTGCAGAACAAAGAGATAATTCGAGCTCGTTAATTCAAGAAGAGCACGAAAATGCAAAAATTATGATCTGGGTATTGGAGAGAAGACGAAAAGAAACACCAAAATCAAACGTACAAGTTTCAGGTGAAACAGAAGACCCAAACAGGGAAGAGAGAGAGACAGAGAAAGGAAGAAACTTAATTGAGACAACCTTCGTAGCCTACTACTATTCTACCCGATAGGATACTGTATTTGTACTGGATTTTTGATGTGGAATGGAGACATCTTTGTTGGGGGCGTTGGTGAAGGTGATGGACTTGGCTTGCTGATGATGTGAAGGTTTAAATGGAGTCATGGGTAGGGTTAGCTGAAAGAGATTTACACAAACAGTTGGTTTTGGAGAGGAGAAAGGAAAACCATGGGCCATGCTTCGGCTTTCCAGTGGGCTGTTTCAACAGCGGATTTTCAAACTTTCCCACCCCTTCTACATATTGATCTTTCGTATTTTTGCCCCTCAACTTTAAGTTTTTCACATTCCAATTTGTGTAATATTTTCAACAATTCGCGTAAAATCACAATAAAAAACACTAAAAGTATCAATTTTTTGCTAATTACATTTTGACCACAAAATTTTCAGGATATTGTAGATAAAATTGACCAAAATCAAATTGTTTGAAAACCCATTAAAGAAAAAGGTTAGAGGAAGAAAAACACAGTTCTAAAAAATGCAAGATTTAGATATGTAGCCCAAGCACCCAATAAAAAATATTTTTCCCTTCACAAAAGGATAATTAATTTTACTTCACTGTACACAATGACGAGAAAGGAGAACATTTATAATCTGTATATTGTAAAACTATAGTAATATAAGTTTAAAATGTAAAATAACATACTTAAAGTTGTAAGAAAATGTGTGACAACAGGAATACTTCCTTGTACGAACTCATAATTGTCAATGCAGGCGAACATAAAGAACTCTTATTCTGCGAAATATTTTATTTAATTATTGTTATTTAAGAAACAATAAATTGCATAAAAATATATATTTTTTACTAGTTTGTAGTAATGCCTCGTATGGATTTTTAGTATATAAGTAATGCACATGCAAATCTTCATAGGATTGATTCTACGTGACAAGAACAAATTTAGATAAAAAGAGAACACGAAATAAGAAATCGTGAAATTAACACTATATAAAAACACTTAAAAAAATAAAAGAAAATCATTATCAAACAGTGTCTTAATTTTTATAGGCAATAAAGATGATTCGTAAAGGAATAAAGATCTTATGCCCAATCCAAGAAGTACATGATACAATAATTTTGAGACTTTGTTTTGAATAAAATAATAGAATTTAGAATTCTCAATCTTAAATTAAATCTGNTTTTTTTTTTGGGGGGGGGGTTTCAGATGGGGGAGGGTGGTGGACTGAAACAGAAATATCTGACTAGAACTGAAATTAGAGAAATACATTTGATGACGGAACACAAACTTCAAGATTAACTCACTGAATGATATCCATTCAAAAAACCAACAGATGGAGGCTGACAAAACCACTAGTTTCTCTAGACCCTTAATCTGATTCATGCAGCTAGCTTACATTCAAAATACCAAACAAAAGGCAGGATTTAAAGTCTTGATCAAATCACAGAATCCAGACAACAGCACAACAATTTATGATTCAGCTTCATGAAGAACATACTGTTTGAAGGATTCTCATTGAGAACTATGCCATGCGACGCATCGCCCACCCAGTCATAGGATTTGATGTGCATGTCTCCGAAGAGAAGTTTACTAAAAACCGTCATTCCAGGATGGTTATGGAGTGGAATGACTCCTGAAGGCGGCAAGCAGAAAATCCCAATCTACAAGAAATCAAGTGACGAGGAAGCAGTGAAAACTGGGTTTTATTATCAAGGAACCAGTGCAATGCATGTTGTCTAGTACAAGTCACAAGCATCTTGAGTCTACCTACCTGGAATTTGGCAGAGTCATTAAGGTGTAGATATGTTATTCTAGGAACTCGTTCAGTCTCTTTTGCCCTGAAAAATGGCATATTTGGGCTCAGGCCAACATCGGCCTCTGTCATGCTATCTGCACATAAGGAGTCAACCTCTTAAGCATTTGCAGGTAAGAAAAAAGGAAAAGCCTAAAGCAGATTTATTAAACATGAGCCCCTTACTTAAAATTTAGATCTCACATCAGAGGCATCTACATTGACTCATTTTAATCCACAGATGATAATTAACTCCATATGTTTATAGTGTTGCACAAAAAAAAGACAGGCAAAAGAGTTGCATTAAAAGATTGGCATATAGTACTAGTAGGTCAAAAATGTGCAAGTGAAACGAAAAACGCATGTTCCAAATCCAGGGAGTAAAAAAGAATTAGAATAAGAAGGCACCCGACCCCACCGAATGGTTTTAGCTACAAACATTATTCAGGCCAAAACTATTATTTTCCTTGTTCTCACCATCTAGAATATATTCAATATAATGGTGTCATGTGGTATAACCAACCGATCATAAACTAACAAATTGGCCTAGTGAACTCCACTTAACCCAATGTGGTATGTGTTAATTATTGAAATAGTGAGATTCACCAAGTCCATAGTGTAGTTTATCCTGGGTTTTTGGTACCACGTGTCGGTATCACCGTTGCATCGAATATTTACTCCTTCCCAAGGTAAGGCCGAGGCACCGATATCACTGACAATGTGAAATAATGAAAATCCAAGTAATTCATAACCTTCATAAATAAATTGATGTCACATTGCTTGTAACCAAATATAAAGCAGAGAAAGGCAAGAAGTTGATAAAGAATCCTACCCCGATCCAGAAAAATTCTTCTTTCCCTTCTTTTTAAATGTCATGTGCTAAAAAGGCTTTGACCGCAACATCAAAAAGAATTTGGACACTGTAAATCTTTTATTTAGATATGGTTATCAGATAAGGGCCAAGCAACATAGGAATCCTAACAATTCCATCAAAAATAACTGTTATGTTACTCACCCAAAAAGGAAAAACATTACGGACAAAAAATGAACAAAAAGTGAAATTTAGTGACTTGCCAAACTAAGTTTTCATCATTGGAGAACTCAAATTTCATCGTCAGGTCATTATCAATTTTCAAGCATACCATATATAGAAAACAATCCAATTATACTAAGGCCATGTTTGGCAGCATGAAATATATGTGTTCTATAATTATAGCTATAATTATAATTGGAGCAAAACAAGTTCAGATTTGAAAAATAATATGAGATCCGATTCCAATTCCAATGCATGAATTCACGATCCCAAATGCAACCGAATGCAATTCAATCATCAAAATTCATGAAACGCCCACAATAAGATAAGCATCAATTATAAATTGAATCAAATGATCATACCCAAAACTGACTTCAGCCGTTCAACATCACTTGGTGATGGAACAATTCCAGGCCCACAATTGGCAAACACTTCCTTGCAAGTCTCATACAGTTTCTGAACCGTTGACACCTTTTTTTGCCTTCGCCGGCCCCTTTTCTTAGAGTCGCTACTATCCTTTCCTTTGCCTCCTACTTTCTCCATCCCCATTGTTCACTCAACTATCCAAACTCGATAAAAACAACCCCAAAAACGCTACGAATTGTTAAATTACACAGATTTTACCCAAAACATAACATTCTTCGGACCACAGAGAGGAGGAGATTTGTGCAGAACAAAGAGATAATTCGAGCTCGTTAATTCAAGAAGAGCACGAAAATGCAAAAATTATGATCTGGGTATTGGAGAGAAGACGAAAAGAAACACCAAAATCAAACGTACAAGTTTCAGGTGAAACAGAAGACCCAAACAGGGAAGAGAGAGAGACAGAGAAAGGAAGAAACTTAATTGAGACAACCTTCGTAGCCTACTACTATTCTACCCGATAGGATACTGTATTTGTACTGGATTTTTGATGTGGAATGGAGACATCTTTGTTGGGGGCGTTGGTGAAGGTGATGGACTTGGCTTGCTGATGATGTGAAGGTTTAAATGGAGTCATGGGTAGGGTTAGCTGAAAGAGATTTACACAAACAGTTGGTTTTGGAGAGGAGAAAGGAAAACCATGGGCCATGCTTCGGCTTTCCAGTGGGCTGTTTCAACAGCGGATTTTCAAACTTTCCCACCCCTTCTACATATTGATCTTTCGTATTTTTGCCCCTCAACTTTAAGTTTTTCACATTCCAATTTGTGTAATATTTTCAACAATTCTCGTAAAATCACAATAAAAAACAATAAAAGTATCAATTTCTTGCTAATTACATTTTGACCACAAAATTTTCAGGATATTGTAGATAAAATTGACCAAAATCAAATTGTTTGAAAACCCATTAAAGAAAAAGGTTAGAGGAAGAAAAACACAGTTCTAAAAAATGCAAGATTTAGATATGTTGCCCAAGCACCCAATAAAAAATATTTTTCCCTTCACAAAAGGATAATTAATTTTACTTCACTGTACACAATGACGAGAAAGGAGAACATTTATAATCTGTATATTGTAAAACTATAGTAATATAAGTTTAAAATGTAAAATAACATACTTAAAGTTGTAAGAAAATGTGTGACAACAGGAATACTTCCTTGTACGAACTCATAATTGTCAATGCAGGCGAACATAAAGGACTCTTATTCTGCGAAATATTTTATTTAATTATTGTAATTTAAGAAACAATAAATTGCATAAAAATATATATTTTTTACTAGTTTGTAGTAATGCCTCGTATGGATTTTTAGTATATAAGTAATGCACATGCAAATCTTCATAGGATTGATTCTACGGGACAAGAACAAATCTAGATAAAAAGAGAACACGAAATAAGAAATCGTGAAATTAACACTATATAAAAACACTTAAAAAAATAAAAGAAAATCATTATCAAACAGTGTCTTAATTTTTATAGGCAATAAAGATGATTCGTAAAGGAATAAAGATCTTATGCCCAATCCAAGAAGTACATGATACAATAATTTTGAGACTTTGTTTTGAATAAAATAATAGAATTTAGAATTCTCAATCTTAAATTAAATCTGTATGGTCCTTAGATCTATCGTTCACTTTTGTCTCCCATTGCACCAATTTTCTTGTAAGGATCTCAATCTCTTAACAAAACCATGTGTGGATCAATAGTATGTAAATCATCATTTTATCAATATTCAATAATTAAGAAAAATATTTTACAAAAACAAGAACTTTGGAATCATCTACATATCTAAGCTTCAATTGCATGCAATCTTTTTTACCATTTGAGCTTCAAACATCAAAATACGCATGAAAGCACAACTGCATTTTAAGTAAATTTATAATTTTACACAAAACAGAACGTCATACCTGTATACGCATTAACACAATCAAACATCAGATTTACAAATGCCAACAATTGTTCAACCACTTGATCTACCTCCGCAAGGTCTCTATAGATTGATCGGTGTGCTGCAATTTTGCCCAAAAAATAGTTACTTTCTTCGATTGTTATATGTTATACGGCGATAGAAATAAGGAAAGTTAAAACCCAGTGATAAATTGCAAAATAGCGAAATGGGAAAGAATAAGGAAGTCAATAATATCTACACGTGCATGAGAATAAAACACGTGGTAACAACACCTATTACGTAGCAAAATATGATATCTGTATCTTTCAAAACATAATATGAAGATAATAACATATTTATGGTTGAGACCTATGAGACAAGGTGTATTGAATTGAGTTGAGTTAGAAAAATATCGTTAAAAATAATTGTATCTTGAAGATTTTTCATGTGTCTGCATTCATTTCCATAATTTATTAATTCATACTTGAAATCAAGTAAACTACGATAAATAATTTCACAGCTGCTTATAAAGGTTTTGTTAAGAAACCAAAACAGCGTAAGAAGGAAATATATAGAATGAAATGAATTTGAATTTTTTTTTTAGAAATTTCTCTAACGTTGAAAGGTAATAAGGTTTTAAATAATAATCCTAATCCTAAATCTTGAAAAAAAGGCATCACTACAAGAAGTTTCAAACTTTGTGTCATAATTATAAAATATGAGAAAGCAAGGTCTATTATGAAGAGAGAAAATTTCTATTATTTTTTTATATTGTGGAAAAGGGGTAGGGATTAAAGACTTTACTAGGGGTTAGATCAGGGAGGAAATGGTAATTTTACAGTGCTAATTAATTAAAGGAAATATCGTCAGGTATTTCGGATACCAGGGTAGGTGCGCTTTGATTAAAACCGTGACAAAATTGCATGCAAAAAGAGCTTGGACACTTCCACTGCTCCCACCCACGTAGCAATTCTAGCATTGTATTTGGAAGTTTAGTAATTTAATTAGGAAAGCCACTTTGTTAAATGTGGTTTTAGATTTGGATTCATCTCAATATTTTTTTTTTCAATTTTTTCAATTGACAAATTTGAGTGGGACCCAGTATATGTTAGTGAATCATCTATAATTATATCGTGAATGATTTATTATTAATAAAAATAAATTGAAAATATATTAAAGAAGGTCCGTATTACTATTTTTTCATATACATACATGTGTCGAGAAAGTAGTCCCGTGGCAATCGTAATACAAAACTTTTTGGAAGTTTACTCTTTGTAATTGAGAAAAACCACGTTGTTAAGTGTGGTTTTAGATTTGTATCCATCGCGATATTTTTTTTTCAATTTTTTTGCTTGGCGAATTTGAGTGAGACCTTTTATATATTTGTGAGTTATCCACTAATATACAGTGAATAATCCATACTATTATGAAAAATATATTAAAAAATATCTATATTAGTGTTTTTTTATGTACATACACGTCTCGAGAAAGTTGCCACGTGGGACTCATGCAAAATTTTTGTTTTAGGATCTATTCTGAAGATTATGGTAATCCAAACCGTGAGAATGCAACAAAACTAATTTACAGGTGTTTGCCTCAAGAGGAAAGGATTCTTTTAGGTCGTAGTTCGATCAGTATAAAGTAGACTTAAAAGCTTTGTCACCTTCTTACCAACTGTAAGACATTCATATGAACAGAAACATAAAGGTCATTAAGTGCAAAAGATTTTCATTTATTACGAAATCTGAGAAGATGTTCATGCTCAGATTTCGTTTTGACAGTCAAATATCTCTCTCATTACACCATTACTAGATACAATTCAACTTGCTGGAGTGTCCTCGTGGAAAAGACGTTATTTTATAGTGGTTAAAAAGTTAAATATAAATAAGTAAAGTTATTGTAGTTAAGAAATTAATATTATTTGTTTTAGGATAAATTACACTCACTCTCCCTCATAGTTGACTAAATGAAACGCAGACCCCCTAACATTTCTAACATGACACTACAACCACTTATCAGCATAAATAGGTGACCGACATTAACAAAAGTGATAAATAACTTTTTTAACCCATTAATTTAATGTAACATAAATACATATATTACCAAAAAATTAAATTAAAGAGTCAAAAAAAATCTCTCTCTCTCTCTCCTTCTCTCTCTCAGTGAAACACATGTAACTCCTCTTTCTCTCTCTCTCTTTCTCAAACCCCCTAGAGCCCCTGCCCCTTCCCCATAACATGCCACCACACTCAGCCCTCTCATCCTAACGGCCACCATTACCACCACTTCAAACACACCACTCCCAACCTTCTTCTTTCTTAGGCCCTTGTCCCCTCCCAAAAACAAACCCTAAATCTAAAGGCTATTACCCCTCTTTCTCTCTCTAGATCTGTAAAACCCACATAAAATGGATGAGTTATCAAACCCTCAAATCGATTTTATCAAATCAAAGCACAAATTCCCACTGCCATTAGCGGTGCTGGTGCACAGTTGGATTTTTGTGATTTATCTCTTAGATCAAATTTATGGTTGATTTTTGTGGTTCAAATTTTGGTGGTGGGTTTTGGATGATGGTTGGTTTTGTGTGGTAGAGCTGATGGGTTTTGGACGATGGCACTGATGGTGTCGACGGTAGCTTTTTCTGATGGTCGAGGCAGTGGTGTCATTGACCGTCGCCATCTGTCTTTCTCTAGAAGGCGGTAGTTAAGGAGGTTGGTGGGTGGTAGCGGTTCCGGAAGCCGATGGTAGTGGGTGATGCTGCCAGATGATTGGCTTAATTCATGGAGTCTTAATTTAAAAACAAAATTACTTTAGTTGATGGTGTTTTAATTGGAAAAAAATTAGCTAATTAATTACTTAATTAGTGGTGTCATAATATAGAAATAATAGATTATATTTTGAGTAACTTAATTATTTTTTAAAATCATAATTATTACGAGAATTTGTGTGTTTGAATTATGAGTTTAATTTGTTTTGGATAGGTAGTTATTAGTACAATTAGAAAATTAGAATTTAAGTGTTAAAATAAATAAGGGATAAGTTTCTAGTGTAAGAAAAACAACATATTTAAATTCTCGAACTTAATTTTAGAGGGTATTTTTGGTATTTAAAAATTATTATTTATGACATCAGTTTTGACCGTTAATAATTTTAAAATCTGTTAGTTAGAAGGAATATGTCTGTTACAAGTTATAAATGTTAAGAGAAGTCGGTGTTATTTTTAAAATATGAGGGAGTGTCCG